AATCTTACAGTAGGGATTAAAAATAATGTACATACATATATGTATATGTATAGACATGCATTATGTCTATACATATATTACATAGTCTTTATGTATCTTTTTCTCTTTATAAATTATAAATCAAGGATAGTTCAACTCTTCCTTAACCAAATTCATGATCAACCTTATCATATGGTGAGAACTTCCCTTTTTAAACACATAGTCAGCACATGCCCTAAGCAAGGGATATTATTTTTTTTTAAAAAGCAAGCATAAAATATTCTTTGTCTTTGAACAATCTGGACATCTGGGAAAGGAAGCAGGAAATTCTTAAATAGGTAGCTGTTTAATAAAACGCTATGGCATTTTTCTCAGCCATTAAGGAAAGTGAAATTGTTTTCTCAAAGACATAAAGGCCCCTAAATGACTTTCTTGATGGTGTTTTTTCAAGCAAAATTTCAGTCACAGGGGTTAATGATTACCAATGTACATGAAAGGAAAATAGGGTCCATTATCTAAATCCAAGGCAGGGCCAGTTATTGTTGGAAGGAGTATAAACAATATATCATCATATCTAAATATGGATACTAAAATTCCCATAATTTTACATTCCAACATAAGATCTCAATCTATTCCTAATCTGTCTAGACTAGGAATTGCTATTTTTGGCTACATTCTTAAAAATCCACGTGCAGGCTAGCAATTTCCTCCTTCCATCAGTTACACATTTGCATCCAGAATAACCTTTCTGTAACACTTTCACTGTGCCATTTCCTTTCCACAGGTTATTGAAATTGGAAATGATGTCAAGCGATCTAAGTGATGTGTTTAAAGTCCCTGCAGAAGTTTAGAGGAAGAAGCATGGTTAAAATGCAGGGCTCTAACTCTGAAACCATTTCTCATCTTGTCTTCCATGGTTTCGACATTAGAGAAGTCCAGGAACTATTGTCTGGATTTCTGAAGAGTATTTCTAATTGTGTTTTTTTTTAACTCAGGGCAGAAACCAAGCTTTAGTAATCCTTTAGGTTCATTATCTATCTAGGAGGACAAAAACCATGGAGATATCTGTCATCATACTGATTATCTAAATGTGAAAGACAGGAAAATTTGTAAGACTCTTATCTCCAATAAACCACCAGAAAACCAGAAATGGTACTATGGCTCAAGTGGTAGAGTGCTAGCCTTGAGCTGAAGAGCTGAAGGACAAACCCCAGGCCCAGAGTTCAAGCCCCATGACTAACAAAAATATAAATAAATAAAAATCATTCCCCAATCACAGTTCATAAAGATAGTGGCTTAGGATTTACTAATTCCAATCATGTACTGCTTACTTGTCACATTGTGGTCTTTCATATATTGCCATTTTGGGGGCTTTAAGTTTTTTATTTATGTTTATTTTTTGTCAGTCGTGGGGCTTGAACTCTGGGCTTGGGCACTGTACTTGGACTCTTAAGATCAAGGCTAGCACTCTACCACTTGAGCCACAGCACCACTTCCGGTTTTCTAGTGGTTTATTGGAGATAAGAGTCTCACAGTTTCCTGCCCGGGCTGGCTTTGAACCATGATCCTCAGATCTCAGCCTACTGAGTAGCTAGGATTACAGGCATGAGCCACCAGTGCCTGGCCAGTTTTTTATTTTTTATTATATGGATACAACCTCGATGGCAGGTTCCTTTATGATAAGAGCACTATTATTGCCTATATTTCTTCTGGTGCAAAATCTTTTTTGTGTGTGTGAAAATACTGTATAGTGGGGTTACAATTACATGGGCAGGATAGCGAGTACATTTCTTATCAAGCATTGTAACCTCCTCCTTTGTTTCCCCTTCCCATCCCTTCCCCTCCTTCCCCTACCCCCCATGGAGCAAAATCTTGACACAGGATTTTCTCCAATGAACAAATGTTTATTCTACCATGGCTTTTGTGTTAGATAGGAAAAACACCTAGCTAACTTCCTGACTTCCTAATTCTATTATTTTCACATTTTTTTGTTTCTAAATGCTAACTAGATATAACGGTACGTTCTTAACTTGGAGGAAAGGAGCAATGGTATTTAAGAACTGTATTTTTATTCTAATAAAAACCTCTACATCAGTTACATTTTTAAAAGAATTTGAAGATTAGACATGAAGAGAAGGAAAAAACCTCAGTTTTCAAAGCACTCCTAACTACAAAGAGATGCTGTATAACTTATCTACTACACATCCTTGTCCATAGATGTATCCCTGTATGCAGAACATATGTGCATCTACACAAACTACGACGACAGCGACACCTGCTGGTATTTAGCTATAAATTATTGTGTGTGTGTGTGTGAGTCTTTAGCTATAAATTATAGTGTGTGGGTGGGGGGGGGGGTCTTAGGGCTTGAACTCAGAGCGAACTCAGAGCCTGAGGGGTTGTCCCTCAGCTCTTCAGCTCAAGGCTAGCGATCTACCACATGAGCCACAGCACCACTTCTGGTTTTCCTGTGGTTTATTGGAGATAAGAGTCTATGAGACTATGAGCCTTTCCTGGCCAGGCTGGCTCTGAACTGCAATCCTCAGATCTAAGCCTCCTGAGTAGCTAGGATTACAGGCATGAGCCACCAGCACCCAGCTTAAATTTTTAAGTGAAGGATAGAAGATTTTCTTAGTAAAATATTATTTTTCTAGTTTAACAACGTATATGACATATAATTGATTCATAAACAACTTTTACCCAGAATACTAATTTTTTGTTAGTCCTCTTAGTGTAATTTAATGAACTATTCTCTTAAGAAACCTCTTTTTCCAAAAAAAATGCTTAAGCATTTTGACAGGAAGTTTTAGGAAAGTGAATTAGTTTGTGATTTCCTGCCCTCCGCAAATTTTCAATAAATTCTATTTTAAGGAAAAGAGTTACTTTTTTTTTTTTTGAAATGTAATATAGCAATACAGGCAGTTTTGTAAGTCAAGAATTAGGTCCACAAAGAGCAAAGTGAAGCACTATCTAGCTAACCTCACATACCCATTTCTTCTACAAAGAGTTCACACTCAGAAATGTCATTACAAAGGCTCAATAGCTATGTGCATAAGATCACATAAAACATTTATAGAAATGAACTCCAAGATATGGAAAGATGGTTTTGGTTTCCTTTGTTGCTGGGTGGGTTTTTTTTTTGTCTTGCTCATCTGTCTTTGGGAGGGCGGGAACACAGAAATGGAGTAACAAAAGGTGAGCAAATAAATGCAGTAGCGATACTCACTAGACATTATGTTAAAATGAACGGTACTTGTGGGTGGGGACAGGAGGGAAAAACTGGGAAAGAGCGAAGGGGTGACATTGTTCAAAAGGAAATGGACTCATTACCTTATGCAACTGCAACCTTATGAAACTATCCATCACCTTTACAATAACAATAAAAATAAAAATATTTTTAAAAACAGTGCTAACATTTGCTGCGGAGGCCAACTTTTATTCCTTCCTGGTCTCATTAAACTTTTTATTTAAGGAGAGAAAAGTTACTCGAAGAAATGGTAAAACACAATGCCCTCTGTGCCTTCAATTTTAACAAGTATATTAGCTGCTTACATTGGCCAGAGTGGAGTGGCCAGCCATGGGGGCTGAGTCTTCACATACTTCTCACTTGCTGTTTTGGTAGTTGCAACACTATATGATCCAGGATTTGCCTGCTCTGAGCAACCTCCAATCATGCACTGTGGCACTTATTTGCCTTTTAACTTTGTCAATGTTCATTATGTTTGTTTCTTAATTGCCAGACCATAATGATACTTATGGATTCAATATCATTTCAGTATATGTATGTACATTATGGAATGACCAAATCAGGATAATTAGCATGTCCATCAACACCTTATGTTGCAATCTTGTTGTGATCAGCCTAACCCATAAATGATTAAAACAGTAATTTTATTTTGTCAGTTGTGGGGTTTGAAAAAGCCTGGGCACTGTCCCTGAGCTCTTCTGCTCAAGGTTAGTACTCCACTACTTTGAGCCACAGCTTCAACTGTGGTTTCTGGTGGTTAATTGGAGATGAGTGTCATAGACTTTCCTGTCAAGGCTGGCTTTGAACTGCAATCTTCAGATCTCAGCCTGAGTAGCTAGGATTACAGGTGTGAGCCTCCAGCATCCGTCTGGTAATATCTTTGGTAATCAGGATATTTAGAAAAGCAGAAATTTACATTAACTTACTAATGTTTATAGTTTTAATTAATCCTTTAATAACTAGAACTATTTCTGGTAAGTAAATAGTCACCAATACATTTTAATTATGTTCTCTAACCCCTGCTTTCACTGTTATTTGATATTGGTATAATTGGGGGAGGGGAAGGGGAAAAAACAAATTGTTTAAGTAGGGATACAGGTGGACCCATTGCAACAATGAGATGTACAAAATGCTATGTTGAAAAACGAACTTTACAACTTTGAGGGGGGAGATGGGAGGGCAGGTAGGGGAAAAACAAAGGAGGAAGCAACAATGCTTGATAAGAAATGCACTCATTACCTTGCTCATGTAATTGTAACCTCTCTGTACAGTATTTTTACAATAAAAAGTATTTAAAAATCTTCTTTCATTTGATCATTATAATAATCAGTGCAGACATGCACAAGATCCATAGCAGTATGTTATAATTTAGGCTTGAACTCAGAGCCTAGGCACTGCTGTCCCTTAGCTTTTTCTGTCAAGGCTATCATTCTACTACGTGATCCACCCCTTCACTTCTGGCTTTTTTGGTGGTTAATTAAAGAGTCATGGACTTCCTGTCCAGGCTGGCTTCAAACTGTGATCATCAGATCTCAGCCTCTGGAGTAGCTAGAATAACAGGTATGAGGCTCTAGCATCTGGCTAATTAAAATAAATTTAAATGAAATAAAAGTAACAGTGATTTGGAAACTGGTAAACAAGTGACAATGTCCACTACTACAAAAGCCAAAAGTAGGGGAAACTGATTCTTAGAATATCTGACACAGTACAAAGAATTATCTCAATGCTTAAAGATCAAAAACCTTATCAATTAATTTGGGTTTAGGGCTCTTAAATTCTTTATATAACTATACAAACTTATAGGGAAAAACGTTTATTATTCAAGTGAGGAATATGAAGGAACACAAAGGATCAGAAATCTTCAGGACACAAAACTGAGTAGGCACAGACTCACTCCTGCTCATGTATACTATCCCCAGGTCCTAGTTACAGCATCTGTTTGATGGTATGGTGGAAATTAATGGCATTCCAAGAGTGCCCATCATACAAAGGGAATTTTCATTTACAATTCCCCTCCCTTTTCATGTGTGGGATATTTTTGGAAGTATTTCTTTTTCCATCCATGGAAAGAGAATTAAGAAAATTCCAACATGCCTCAGTGTCAGCAAGTACTCTTTTTGGTCCAGGTACCAGAGGATGATTGATGAACCTGTCAAGCCTACAGTAGCAGACAGAGAAAGTTGGCAGAAGTTCAGTGTTATTGAAAGAAATCTCAATACTTATTTCATCTCCTCTATTAACTTTAATCACATTTTCAACATGCATCCAAGAATGAAGCTTTGACAGTGGGCCATAAATTTACACAGGCAAGCATTGTCACTTTTCTCCAGTTGCAACACTGAGATAACACAAGAGAGTTGGACAGTTTCCTCCCTCGTACCTTTTTTTTTTTAACTGAAGAGCAATAAAAATATTATGAAGATTTATCCATACCTCAAATTAATTTACAATAACTCTATTGAAATGACTGCATGTAAAGCAGCTTAGGTCTTCAACTAGGTGTTCAATGTGTATTATTTTGTTCGTGTGCGTGCGTGCGTGTGTGTGTGTGTGTGTGTGTGTGTGTGCGTGCGCGCTAGCATGCACACGCACACGTGCCAGTCCTGGGGTTTGAATTCAGGGCCTGGGCACTATTGCTGTGCTTTTGTGTTCAAATGTGGATTTTTAAAGATCACAGTGCTAACAGAATTGGGACTGTTTCATCATAATACACCTGCTTATGAGAACAGACATTAACACTAAAAAGGATTTACATTTAACACGGATCATTTGCCATGTGGGCAAACACTTCTGGTTCATTCACAGCCAGAATCTTTATATGGTTCCCAAGAGACGACTTGGCAGATTTTGCTGATTACTCATTAAACAGCTGAAATACGTAGAGACATTTTTTGCCTTATGAAGCTTACCCACAGCAAAACAGACACAAAAATGAGGTAAATACTATGGGCAAGACTATGGTTCTTGGAAAGGCTACAAGTAAAAAATATTTTTGGTAAGCATTTCCTCCTGTGTTTTGTAAGATGAAAATATTAAGGGTGAGAAGGCCACAGAACACAAATGTCTTGTTCAATGAAACACCAGCACTGTGCTGCACTGGAAAATCTGCAAGCTTCCCCAATAGGTAGTTCAAAGACCATCACACCTTTGCCATGGGAGGGACAATATTTGGACTCTTTTTTATTTGTTCTTGCTCCAAGGCCAACTTGTTTTTGCTCTTGTTTTGTTCACATTACTCATGAGCTAATACTTTTAAGCATTCTTATCTCTCATAGCAACGGAGGCAGTAGCTACCATACCTCATTTTTTTGCCCTTCCCATAACTCCTTTTGTGTATGTGTTGGTGCTTGGGCCTGAACTCAGTGCCTTGCATTCTCATGACATTTTCGCTCACAGCTGGCCATCTACCACTTGAGCCATGGTCCACTTCTGGCTTTTTGCTAGTTATTTGGAGGTAAGAGTCCCAAAGACTTGTCTGTGCCATCTGGCTCTGAACCTTGGGTTTCAGATTTCAACCTCTTGAGCAGCTAGGATGACAGGCCTGAGCCACCAGCATGTAATTCATACCAGCTTTTTAAGCCACAAATTCATATGAACCCTGTAATCCTGTGTGACAATGGATTCTCTAAGAAGTCTATACTTGCAGTTCTCTCAACTAATCATTGGAAAAGACCAATTCTGATTACCACAGAGTGAATCTATCCTATTTTCCCTCCTCTTTTTAATGATCATAGATAGGCACTTAAAACAGGACATCTGATTGGGCTCTCTACAGCAGTGTGTCCCTGAATGTATTGCTAAGCGTGAAGCAAAGGGTAGACAGCTGGTTGTGTATTTGAGGGAAAGTCAATGTCTTCTCATTTGTTTGTCTTGCTGTTGTTCAAGTTCTTAAAAGGTGGAAAACTTTGTAAGGTCCTTCTCCATCTCGGCATATTGCTCTTTAAGCCTCTCCATGGCTCTTCTGTGCTCTTCGTCCACCTGGGTCTGTCTGTAAGGTTGTTCTTTCATGAAATCCTCCCATTGGAGTAGATGCTGTTTCTCACTACTTATTAAATGGTCATGATACATCTGAGAAAAGAAAATGTGAAAGTCACATCTTCCAGGCAATCATTTCTATGAGCAGAAGACACAATCATATAACTTTATTCTCAATATTTTGTTCTTTAGCAATTATTCATTAAGTCACAGTAATAAAATTGTTTATAGCAGGGAGCCAGAGGCTCCTACCTGTAATCCTAGCTACTCAGGAGTGGGATCTGAAGATTATAGTTTGAATCCAGCCAAGGAAGGAAACTGTCGGACTCTTATCTCCAATTAACCACCAAAAACCTGGAAGTAGAGCTGTGGCTCAAGTGGTAGAGTATAGCCTTAAACAAAAAAAGCTCAGGGACAGCACCTGGGCCTTGAGTTCAAGCCCCAGAACCAGCCCACACATGCACACACACGCGCGTGCACGTGCACACACACACACACACACACACACACAAATTGCATTACAGCTTTTTTTTTTCTGTTTTTTTTTTTTTGAGATACAATCAGGCTCCAAACTTGTAACTCTCCTGCTTGTCTTCAAGCAGCCAGTTCATAAAGTGTTCCTTGCTGAGTTCTCTCACTTGGCTTGTGATGACCATCCAATATGTTCTTAGTACCTACAGGATGCAACTGCTGCTAGATGCTGATACACATGATCCACCTCTAGGAAATTCCCTTACAAGGTTAGACTGCTCTCTCATTTCACAGACATAACTAAGGCTGAAGGACGATTCTCTACTGCTCCATTGGCATTCATTCGATAGCGGGGCTCAATTCAAACTTGGGTCTTTCTAACACCTAACTACACTTTTGTCTTTCTATCAAGGAGTACACGGCAGGCACTTCCAGGAGAACTCATACCCAGGCCACTAACTGTTCCTTTCACAAGGCAAACAGCTTTGGCAGAGCTGTTCTACCACGCTGGCCTCAAGCACCAGGACACACTGAAGTTTGAGTTTAGTCAAACTTTCTCCTAAAATATGTCCCACAAAAACTGGGGGCTGAACAGATATCAGCGATGGGAAGGGGGTGCCAGGAAAGGGGAGGCTCAGCCAATAAAAGTGGAAAATGGTTTACACAGACTTCAACTTATTATTCTTTAGCCTTATGGCTTATAACTCTCAAAGTGAATAAAACATGTTTATTAAATTCTTCTGACAGAATCTTTTCAAATCATAGTCTAAGAGAAGAGCCTTGGTCATTAGAAAGACAAGAAAATACAAATGTACTTCATCAAAATGATACCTTGGGGGTTGGGAAGGTGGCTCAATGGTAGAGCGCTTGCCTTGCATGCCTGAGGCCCTGGGTTCCATTCCTCAGCACCACATAAGCAAAAAGAAAAAAGCCGGAAGTGGTGCTGTGGCTCAAGTGGTAGAACGCTAGCCTTGAGCTGAAGAGCTGAGGGACAGCACCCAGGCCCAGAGTTCAGGCCCCACGACCGGACCCAAACAAACAAACAAACAAAATGATGCCTTGCTTTAATTTTAATTAGATAACACAGGCTTAGATTTTAAACTTTTTAAGGAAAAATAACCATTGATATAGTTGTTCGTGTTTTTTAACTGATCAGGCCCTATAACAAGAATCCTACAACTTGGGTAACAGCTCCAGTTCTTTTGCTTTTAGTTCCTTTTTTATTTAGATAGGGTCTCGTGCAAATTTCAACATGGTCATGGACAGTGATCCTCCTGTCTGGGAAAGCAGAGACCTCCCAAGTAGTTGGGATGACAAGCATGCACCACTCAACCCAGCTTTAGCTGACCTTTCAATTAGGTTCACAAGACTTGGGTTCTCCTTCCTATTTTACCCAGTGTAGCTCAATGAATTAAAAATAAAGACTTGAGAGTCATATAAACCTTGTCCCAAATTCTGGCTCACTCATTACCATTTGTACAACACTGATCAAATTAAAGTTTCTTTAGTTAAAAGAGAGGAAAATAACTAGGTGACTGTGATCCTAACTACTCAGAAGGCTAACATCTAAGAATCGAGTTTTCTTAATTTTTTTTTAAATTTTTTTTTGTGAACATACTGTAAGAGGGGTTACAATTACATGGGCAGGATAATGAGTACATTTCTTATCAAGCATTGCAGCCTCCTCCTTTGTTTACCCTTCACATCGCTTCCCAGCCTCCCCCCCCCCGCCCCGCCTCCTCACCCAATCCCCCCACCCCACCAAAGTTGTAAAGTTCATTTTCGACATGACAACTTGTACTTCTAAGAACATTGTTGCAACGGGTCCACCTGTATCCTTAAACGAATCGAGATTTGAAGCCAGTTCAGGCAGAAAAGTCATGAGACTCTTATCTCTGATTAACTACAAGAAGCAGGAAGTAGAGGTGTGGCTTAAGTGGTAGAGTGTTAGCCTAGAACAAAAAAGCTCCGGGACAGATGCCAGGCCATGAATTAGCCCTAGGACTGGCACCAATTTTTAAAAAAGGAGGAAAATAAGCCAGGCCTAGGTGGCTCATGACTTCAATCATTTAGGAAGCTGGGATCTAGTTCAAAGCCAGCCTGAGCAGGAAAGCCTATGAAACTCCATCTCCATATAACCAAAATCAGTCCTGCTTTTGTTGGAAGTATGACCAAAGTGGTAGAGTGGTACCTGAGCAAGTCTGCTGAGCAAGTGTGAAGCTCTGAGTTCAAGCCCTGGTACCTGCAAAAACAGGGGGCCGATATTTTACATTCATAAATATTTATGAAGACTGGAGACAATGCATGCTAGGTTCCTAGCTCAGTTAGGAGGCACTTAATAAAAGGTTATTATTATTATTGATATCACAAGTAAAGCATCTAGAAAACTGATCCCTTTTTATCACTCCCCTGTCAGTTAACTGTAGTAATAGTTCATATGTATATGTGTGTGTCTGTTTATCTGCTGGTGATAGGGCTTAAACTCAGGGCCTAGGCACTGTCCCTGAACATTTTTTGCTCAAGGCTAGTGTTCTACCACTTGAATCACAGCTCCACTTTCAACTTTTTTTGTTGTTAATTGGAGATAAGACTCTCACAGACTTTCTTGCCAGGGCTGGCTGCAGGCATCAGCCATCTGTGTTCAGCAACAACAGTCCTATAGTTCAAACAATACAGATAATTCAAATAAAAATAATAAGTCTTTTTCCACCCACATTTACATTCAACTCATATTTTTCCTTGATTTATCTACTGCTAACCATTTGGCTATTACAAAAAGACTTCACTTAAGATGCTACTATTTGTATTTTTTTATTTTATTATTCTTTCTATTTGTATTTTATAGTTGCAGAATATTATGGCTAATGTTGGCATATTCACATAGTATTTCACACAGGCTCAAAATTTTCTTGGCCTCCAAATTTTTAAGTGATAGTAGCTAAGGCTGACAATTCCCCAAGAAAAATGAAAATCTTATCTTGCTTTCTGATTAAGAAGCTTTTCAAGGTCTACTTTGTCTTCCCTTTGTCTCCACCTTTATAGGTAATAGCTAGGCATTCATAAAGAAAAAGAAGGCATAGTGGCTGTACAATAATGTGTAACATTCACCAAGAAGTAAGATTTGGAATTTTCAATAATTCATACAGAAAATTAACCTGTAACATTTCGTAAGCTCAGAGACATGTAAGAACATGGAATATGTTTTTAAAGGTTAACTTTTTATAACATAAGCAGTTATTTTAAAAAGATAAAAACTTGAGTTTTATAGAAATCCTAGCTATATGTAATACTCTGATATATATGCAGAAGAACTAAAGTAAGGATGTGAACAGATATATATACAGCCAAACTCACAGCAATACGCTTTGTAATAGCTGAAAGGTAGAGACAACCCAATCCCAGTGTCCACAGATAAATGAGTATGTGTACAGACTATAGCATACATATACAATGCAATAATCAGCCTTAAATAGCAAAGGAAAGGCTGCATTACACCAAAGAAATCAGCCAGTCAAATACACACACACACACACACACAAACTGTACAAATTTTAAAGATACCATTTTGATGTTTCTAGAGTAGCCAATTCATATAGATAGGAAGTAGAACGCAGCTACAAGGATGAGAGTAGGGGAAGATGAGGAGTTAGTATTTAATGGATACAATTGTACCTGTTTTGAAAGTTTATCAATGATTTACAAGTGTCTAGTAAAAGTCATTAGCTGTATTGATGTGTAAATGTGCAAATTAATAACAGAGAAAGCAAAATAACATGCCAGCTTATATGTTTCATAAGACAGAAACTGAAGTTGACACCAGCTAATTTACATCTAGAACTAGTTCTATAAGTAAACTCTAGGTCGTAGAATAGAAGTATTTTGCATGTATTAGCTTAAATAAGTGACACAAAGGGTGAAGTTCTTCCTTGAGTGACTTTCGGTCACCATAACCCAAGTCAGAGGAGGTGCAAGTGGTAACTAAGAAGTAGAGGCTGAAGATCCTGTTAAATTATAATAGCCAAGATGGCCCCAGAACAAAGAGTTCTGTCTCTGCTCCAAAATATCAGCAGTGCCAAGATGAAGAAATCCAAATTTAGGGGAAAATTCTGAATTATCTAGCTAAGTCTTAAAAGGTCTTTTGGGAGCCCGGTGTGGTGGTACACACTGAGGTCAGACTGGAATTTTCGGTGAGACCTCAAATAGACAGACAAAAAATTCTCCAGGAACACGTTACATATGCTATTAATTTTACATGTGCCTTATGCAGGCATAGTAAAAACTTCTTGGGTAAGAAGTCAAGCCACTCTCATTGTTTCACACCTATACTCCCAGTTACTCAGGAGGCAGAGATCAGTAAGATCATGGCTCATCAGCCATCGTTACAAGTTAGCAAGATTCTCATCTCAACATACAAACCAGGTGTGACGGTTCACATCTACAACCCCAGTTATGCAGAAGGAATGGGTAGAAGGAATGGTTCTAGATTGGTCTTGGCAAAAAGTGAGATTCTAAAATAACCTAAAAGCAAAGAGCGTCTGAGGCATAGCTCAGAGCTCAATTGTAGTACAGAACCAAAAAAAATACCAGTATAGTCACTATTAAATAATTTGATGTTTATTACA